CCTGCAGGTGGGCTGTGCCCCTCCTAAGGGGGGGGGCACTCTTTAGGCGGTGACTCAATCTCCATGGCAACCTAAGAAGCAGCTACAGTTGACCCCATTTTACAGACAAGGACGGCTGAGGCTCAAGGGGCCCTCTCCCCAGCAGCAGCCCGCCGCCCCGGGAGTGCTCCCAGCCCCTCCACCCAGGAAACTCACTGGCGCCCGGGAAAGACACCCCCTGGCCTGGTGGGGGTGTGGGGGACAGAGCTAGACACCGGAGCCCGCGGGCACCGCCCTGCACTTCCCTCACTCCCAGCTCCTGCCGCCCTGCAGCACACACGCACCCTTGCACTCCCACGCGCGTGCACACACACACACACACACACACACACACACACACACACACGGGCTGCAGGCAGCCGGGCTGCCCGCATGGACGTCAAGGATGCCTGTTTGCAGACAGTTCTGTCGCTGCTTTTCCTGCCGCTGTCTGCTGCCCCGGCACCTCCCCGCTGCCGCCCGCTGTGCCTTGTCCCCGTCCTTCCTCTTCCCTGGGCCCTTGCTTTCCTCCCAGGAGCCCCTCGTCCCCGGGGTGGGGGGGGGTGCGGCTCAGAGAAACTCCTGGTGGGCTGTGTCAGGAAGCCAACCCCGCTCCTCTGGGCACCGGGGTGGGAGGGAGACCGGGGCTGGGATGGAGGGCGTGGGGGACCGAGTCCCTGGGGGACGGGCACGGGGGCAGGGCCCCAGCAGGAGCCAGGGCAGCCTGCCCACGGGTCCGCGGGCACTGGCTCAGCGAAGGCGGAGAGCTGGGCGACGGCGAGGCCCCTCGGGTCCCCTCCGGTGTTTGGGCACTGCCCGCGCGTACTTTTCTAGCTTTCCCTGTGCCGGGCTGGGGGAGGCTTCCTGCCCCGGGGAAAGGACGCGGGGGAAGGGGCCGCCAAAGTCACGCTGGGCCTCAGAATGGGCCCTGGGCTCTTAGCCCTGGCCTGCTGGGGGCTGTGTCCCTGCCGCCTCGGGTGGGAGGACGGGGTTCATCTGTGATCCTGCCCTGGCTCTCGCCCCAGCCCCACCCCTTCCCCCGGCTCTCCATTTCTTGCTTATGAAATATGCATGGAGAACAGATGTCCCCGCTCCCCTACTCCCTGCCCCCCCCAGGGCCAGCCCCCACCCCCAGCTCCCCGGAGGTGCGGTGGGGGGTGTTCCCAGTTCCCCCTGCCAATGGCTGCCCGGCCTGGCTGTTTAATATTGATGGGGGGGGGGGCGGGCCAGCCAATGGAGAGCCGGGGGTGTGTGTGTGTGTATCTCCATATATATACATAGGGTTGGGCCAGCTCAGGTGTGTATGCGTGTCTGTGAGTGCCTGTGTATGTGCGTGTGTGCGAGTGCGCTGGCCCCGTACCTGGCCAAGCCCTCCCCCTCCCCCTGGGCCCTCAGTCCCCACCATGTGTACCCCTCTCATCTGCCCTGGAGCCTGTACAGCCGCGCCGCGAGGCCGCCCCCGAGAGCTCTAGAAAGCTGGTCACTAACTTTGCAGACGGATGAGCTCTGAGCAGCCAGAGGAGCCTGGGGCCGTCAGCACTGCCCCCTGTCCTGCCAGCGTGGATCCCCTCCCAGGGTCTTCCTAGGTAAAGGGAGAACTGTGGGCTGGGGAGGGGTGGGTGAGCCCCCTCCCAGCCCTCCCCAGTGCCTCGCCCCTGTGTCCCTGCACGCCCTCTTCCCCATTCCTCCCCTTGGACTCTCTGCGTCTGTCCCCAGTCGGGGGAGCACGGCAGACGTGGGGCTGGAGGTCCTCCCCGGCTGCTTGGGATTGCCGCTTTCCCCATCCTTGGAGCCTGGAACTTTGGGACCAGAAGTGGCTGTGGGGTGAGGACTGCGCGGGTAAACAGAAGCTGCTGCCGGGACTGGAGCTGGGGGGGACAGCGGGGCCAGGTGGAGGTGGGACGGGGGTCACACTGGGGTGCGGCAGGGAGGGCAGGGCAGGGCCATCAGGGGGGAAGGACCACCGGCCCAGGGCAGGGGCAGGACCGCACTGTGATAGCCGCGCTTGAGGCCCGCAGGATGGGCAGTCGGGGCAGTGACCACATACTGGAAGGTGCTGCCCCGGGGCTTGTCACACTGCTGTCATCCCTCTTGTTCCCTTGGAGCCGGGAATGCGCAGCGTGTCCTGAATTTCAGCACTGACCATGTTCTGTTTTGTGTGATGGGTATGCGTGTTCGTGTCAGACGAGGATGCCCTCGCACCCACCACCCTCCCGCACTTAGTAACCTGTCAACTACAACTGAGCCTGTCTCCCCTGCGGGGGTGGGGAACCCGGGGAGGAGGTCCAGCAGGCAGGAGAACCAGGCTGCAGGGGAAGGGACAGCGGCTCAGCGCTCCTGCTTCCTGGGCTCACGCGAGTGGCCCACTCTCCCCCCTCAACACTTCTCCCAAGCAAAGCCTTTCCCAGCCCCTTGCCTGCTGCCTCACCCTGACCTCCGCTGGCCCCAGGACAAGCAGACCTTAGCCAAGTCTCCTAGAAGCTGGCACGTCCCCACCCCCCGCTGCAGGCCACATCTGAACTGATGCTGGTCTGTGGGAGGACTCCAGGATTCCTTCCCCTCATCGCCTTTGTGGAGTCCTCAAGAGCACCAGGGAGTGGCAGCCCAGGGCTGAGGGTGTTGAGGACAGAGGGAGAGGCCAGTCGAGCAGGGCGTCGTGGTCAGAAGAGATACCATCCCTTGACTCTAGTGGACAGGGCGGTCGGATCAGGTGTCGTAGCAGTCATGCTGGGGGTGGGGGCCCGGGCAGGGACGGCGCCGGGGCAGCTGTGCCGAGCTCCATATGTCCCAGTCCACCCTACAATGGGCAATCTGCGTGCGTATCCCCTCCCCCCCAAGAGGCAGCGAGGCTGGAGAGGGGCCCTGGGAGGGAGCGGAGGCAAGGCCGCAGCTCTCCCATCACAACTGGGGCAGGTGTAGGGGCGCGGCCAACCTCTCCTGAGCTGTGACCCCAGTTTTGCTCAGTTTTTTTTCTTTCTTTTTATCGTAAAATATTTGTAAGATGGTTAAAAAAGCAAAAAAAAAAACATGGAACACAAAATGCACCATTTGAAGTGCAGAGTTCAGTAGTGTTAAGTATGCTTGCACAGTGGTGAAAGAGATTCCCCAGAACTTTTTCATTTTCCAAATCTGAAACTCTACACCCTGTGAACACTTCCCCTTTCCCCCCACTCCCCTCAGGCCCTGGGAACCACCATTCTGCTTTCTGTCTCTGTAAGGCTGACTGCTTAGACACCTCAGATCCGTGGATCATACGGTGTTGGTCTCTTCGTGACAGGCTCCTCTCTTTTAGTACAATGTCCTAAAGTTGCGTCTATGCTGCAGCATGTGATCAGATCTCCTTCCTTTTTAAGGCTGAATAATATTCCACTGAATGTCTCCACATCTTTATGTGGCCAGCTGTGGATGGACGACGTCTGGGTTGTTTCCGTATCTTCGTTATTCTGACTAGCACTACAGTGACATGGAAGTGCAGATTTCCTTTTTTTTTTTTTTTTGGCTACTATCCAGAAGTGGGATTGCTAGATCATCTGGTAGTTCTATTTTTAACTTTTGGGGGAAGCGTCCATTAGATTTTCCATAGTGGCTGCACCATTTCACAGTCCCACCAACACAGCACGAGGGACTCGGTTTCTCCACGTCCTCACCAACACCTATTATCTTGTCTTGTTTTTGTTTTGATGGCAGCTGTCCTCATGGGGGTGAGGTTTTAGCTCATGGTGGGTTTTTGTTTGTTTTGTTTTAAAAAGATTTATTTATTGGACAGAGAGAGAGAGAGAGAGAGAGAGAGAGAGAATAAGCAGGGGGAGCAGCAGAGGGAGAGGGACAAGCAGGCTCCCCACAGAGCCCAGCAGCCTGGAGCGGGGAGCCTGATGCGGGGCTTGATCCCAGGACCCCAGGATCATGACCTGAGCCAAAGGCAGAGGCTTCATCGACTGAGCCACCCAGGAGCCCCTCTTTGTGGTTTTGATTTGCTTTTCTCTGGTGATGAGTGATGTTGGGCATCTTCTCATGCCTGCTGGCCATCTGTGTATCATCTTTGGAGAAATGTCCATTCAAGTCCTCTGCCCATTTTTTAATCGAGTGGTCTGATGTTTTGTTGCTGTCGGAGTTCTTTTTTTTTTAAGATTTTATTTATTTATTCATGAGAGACAGAGAGAGAGGCAGAGACACAGGCAGAGGGAGAAGCAGGCTCCATGCAGGGAGCCGGACATGGGACTCGATCCTGCGTCTCCAGAATCGCGCCCTGGGCCAAAGTCAGCGCTAAACCACTGAGCCACCCGGGCTGCCCCAGAGTTCTTTATAATATTCCAGATACTCACCCCTTATCAGATGCATGATTTGCACATGTTTTCTCCCGCAGCTCTTGCCTTTTCACTCCCCTGCTTGTGTCCCTTGACTTAGAAAACTTTTCAAGTTCGACGGAATCCCATTTGTCCACTTTTGCTTTGTTGCCTTCCTTTGGGCGTCCTAGCCAAGAAATCACTGACTGCCAAGTCCGATGTCAGGACACTTCCCGGTGTTTCCTTCTAGGAGCTGCCCAGCCTGGGGTCTTTAATCCTCTGGCTGGGTTTTACCCTGCCCCGCCCTGCCTCACCCCTCCTCCTTTCCTGTTGCTCCCTTCCAGGATTCTCTCCCCTTCTTACCATCTTTCCTCCTTCCGGCCCCTTTGTGCCTGTCCACCGGCGTGTCCCCTCGGCGCCTTTCTGCTGTTCCCCCACTCTTACAGCACCCTCCTCTGCTCCCCCATCCGCCGAGCTGCCCCTTCTTCCTCCCTCCGACCCAGTCAATCCCCCCTTCTCTCCTCCAGGCTCCGGACTGGACCCCTGACCATGGGACCTTGAAGTGGCTCTGACCTCCTCAGCTCAGTGGCCGACCCCAGTCCCGCAGGCCCTTCCTGCCCCTCCCACAAGCGGCTCGCAGGCTCCCAGCGGGAGGGGTGGGGAGGGGACCCCGATCTCCCCGGGCAGGGGCCTTCCATCATGATGCTCAACTCCGACGTGGTGGAGCTGGACCTGCCTCCCACCCACTCCGAGACCGAGTCGGGCTTCAGCGACTGCGGGGGCGGGGCGGGCCACGACGGGGCTGGGCCTGGGGGTCCGGGCGGCCAGGCCCGGGGGCTGGAGCCGGGGGAGGCGGCCCGCAAAGACCTGCAGCACCTGAGCCGCGAGGAGCGGCGGCGCCGGCGCCGGGCCACCGCCAAGTACCGCACGGCACACGCCACGCGGGAGCGCATCCGTGTGGAAGCCTTCAACCTGGCCTTCGCCGAGCTGCGCAAGCTGCTGCCCACGCTGCCCCCCGACAAGAAGCTGTCCAAGATCGAGATCCTGCGCCTGGCCATCTGCTACATCTCCTACCTGAACCATGTGCTGGACGTCTGACCGGGCCTGCCTCCCGCCTCCACGGGCCCCTGCACCCGGCACGCGCACCCGGTCCCCCAGGCTCCCAGGGTGCAGGCAGGGCGCCCTGGGCTGGGGCTGGGGCTGGCGGAGCACGACCTGGGATCACCTCGGTCCCGTCCCCACCCCCAAGGCGATGCTCGGTACCTCCCACGTCTGCAGTGGGGGCCCCCCTGCTGGTCACAGGTGTTTACCGGGGTCCAGTCCTTGCAGGGCCTCCTAAGCGCCCCCCCTCCCCGGCTCTCTCCAGGGCTGCCGCCTCCCCCACCCAGGACCCTGTCTCTGTGTCCCATCCCCTTCCCAGCCTCTCCTGGGAGGGAGGGAGGGGGCCCGGGCCCAGGAAGGGGGCTGCTTGCCAGGGGGACAGGCAAGGCCACGCAGGGCTCTCCGGAGCGACAACTGCCAGGGGAGGCTTAGTGCCCGCGAGTGACGGGGAGTTTTCTCTCCCAGAGGCTCAGCACACGCAGACCTCGGATCTTACTTGGTACTGAGTGCCTTGTCCTCTCTGAGCTCCCTGCCCCCTCCTGCCCAGCCTCCCAATTTTCTCCCTCCCTGTGTGCAGCCGCAGAAAGGAAACCCTAGGTCCTGGAGGACGGATGCTGGCCCCGAGCTCAGCAGAGGGCCAGGGCAGTGGGGCAGCCAGACCTCACAGCTGCTTCCTCCTCCCAGCACCCTGGGAACAAGTGCAAAACCCACGGGGCTTCCTCCCTCAGCTGCAGGGGGATGCTCAGCTCCCTGGGACCTAGGGCCAGTTCATTAGATATATACTTTTTCTCCTTACTTAAGCTCGCCTTCAGCAAAGGAAGACACCCCCTATCCCGCTCCCCACCCCCAGGCTCTCTGTACCCCCCCAGTGTGGCTTTGCCCCTCTGCTCACAGCAGCCCAGGGTCAGCAGTGGAATGAAGGGCCGGAGGCCCAGCATAGAAGAAGTGAGCCCACCGCCCTTCCCACGCTCCCTCCTCCCTCACACCAGACTCTGTGCTCTACAAGGATATTTATTTACGTATTTATTTATTTATTTATTTGTCTATTTATTTACTTATTTATTTATAAATGTTACTATTTATTGCCGAGTTGTGCACTTTGAGGTAGAGTGAGGGAGCTCCTGGCAGCCCTAGCTGGGCCTCTCTTGCTTCCTCCCTGGTTCTCCTTCCCCTTTCTTACTCCTTCTGCAACTCCAGGAGTGTGTGTGGGGAGATCCTCTCTGCTCACCACACCCACATCTCTTCCTCAGATCCACCTGTCGGGACACCCAGTCCTCTGGGTTGGTGCCCCCGCCCCAGCTCCTGAGCCCTTCCGTAGCTCCCTCCCCCCCTCCACAGTCCCACCCCATCCTGCCTGCCTTTTTCTCTCTCTGGCCCTCTCCCATGACCTCTCACTTCTTCCTCATACCCCCAACAGTGGGCCTCCAGGCTCTGTGTCCTGTGTCCTGTGTGTGACCCCCTCCCATTGCATTTCCAATTTCATACAAAAAAAAAATTAAAGTGACCTCGTTCTAGCCCCAGGTATGGCTGTGGATCATTCAATTGGGTTGGGAAGCTAGCCTAGGCATGGAGGACCCTGGGCTTTCAAGGCTGTTTGATTGGGGCCCTGAGAGCTCAGCGTGGTGGGTAAACGGGGAGGGAGTAGGAGGGGCCACAGAGTAAAGAGGTTGCAGGGAAGGGTGTAACACACAGACCCCAGTCCCCCCCACCCCAGGCCCACGTCCCTCCATCTTGGTATGCACAGGGGTGCCACTTTCTGGCCCCTCTGATATTGTGTTTCTGCTCTGCTCTCTATGGGCCTGAGAAAGAGCTCGAGTTCCCAGTGGAACCCAAGTAAAACATGTGTCTGTAAGTCCATGCTGCTGGGAAAAGCCATGACATGAAGCCTCTCCTCCACGTTGTCTGTGAGCTGGGTGGGTGTTCGTGGCAATTCGTTCCTGGCCCACGCTGTGCTCCCCAACCTTAAGATATGGGGGAGAACAGAATGGAGGACCTGGGACTCAGGGAGCGCTGGGGAAAGGGAGGAGGAGGAGCTCTGAGTGAGTATCAAAGGAATCCTGGAAGAGACTCTACAGTCAACTCAGAGCCCAGAGAGGAGGTGGGCCTCATCCAAGGTCACACAGCCGGGCAGGAACAGTGGTCAAGTACAAACCTTGGTTCCTCCTGTCTGGCCCTGCAACGCCCTGCTTCCCTGGAGTGACCCAGGCCGCCGGGTGAGAGTCTGTGGGCCTCACAGTCTAACGTGGATAAACCAGCGAGTATTCCGTTTGGTGGCCAAGATGGCAAAAGGTCTGGAGACAACCGTGCAGGAGGAACAGCTCCCCGGAGGATTCAGCGTCCTCCCGGTAGGGGCAGGAGGCCTGCCCCTGCTCCCTGCAGAGCCAACCACACCGGCGGGAGGTTGTTGTGGGAAGTGGATTTTAACTCTAGGAACAACCTCTCAACCCGTGTGGCTGTTGGGCGGCGGAAGTGCCATGGGGCCAGGAACCAGGACCGGCTGGAGCAGCGACGGACGAGGCAGGCAGACGTTCCTGGTGGCCTGGTGGTGGGGCTCGCGGGCGGTGGGGGTGTGACGGGAGCAGGGGGGCAGGACCACCCCGCGCACCCCTGCCCTTGCCCGTTGGGCTGGAGGAGGTGCTGAGCCCGGGGATGAGGACACAGGGTGGCGGGTGGCAGGGCACGAGGGCCCTGGGGGTTCACTGAATCCTGACCCTTTGTTGTGGAGGCAGGTAAGCGGACCCCCCCTGCGGGCGGCCGGGGCCTCCCCTCCTGGCCCGGGGCCCCCTGCCCCCCTTGTGGCTCGGCCCGCTGGAAGGCTACCGGCCCTGTGCTGGGGGCTCCCTCGGGGCCTGGGGCGGGGAGGGGCAGCTGCAGCTGTTCCGGCAGCTCCAAATTTCTTCAGATAATCAATTGGCCTCGGCTGCGCTCTGCTCGGCAGGACCGACCGAGAAGCTGGCGGGGGTGGGGGCTGCCTGGGAGACGGAAGGACCGACCGACAGGGGAGCCCGGGGCTACCACACAGGGCGGGAGGAGGGAGGAGGGACTGTGGGAGGGCCAGGCGTCCCAGCAGGTGGGCCGATGGAGGGGGGACCCGGACCGTCCCCCCAGGCTGCCTTCGTCGGGCCCTGCCAGCCCCTGCCAGCCGTTGGGCCGCCTCCTAGCCACGGACCCCCCTCGCTCAGCAAGCCCCCCCAGTGGCGGAGCCCCCAGCAGGCCCAGGGGCCTGAGCGTGGGGGGGCTCTCGGCCACCCCTCCCTGTGCACACGCACTCACACTCGTGCGCACACCCCCCTCCCCTGCACGCTGCGTAGGCTACCGGGCATATGGGCCCTTTGTGCCACACAATGGACGCCCTGCCTGTGCCCCTTCCCAGGCTGGGCACGGGGGGCTCCTCCCTCTAGCCCACCTCCCTCCCTCCTGTGTCCCCGGTCGGGCCTGCCAGGTCCCCTGTCGTCCTGACTGGGCCTCCCCCCTTCCTCTTTCTGCCTCTCGCTTCCTCCTCGTGTCCTTTCCAGAGCTCCTGGGTCTGGGCGCAGCCTGTGCCCGGAGGAGGGAGGTAACAGGTAACGGGCGGCCACGTCGGAGGTTGGTCCAGGAGGGAGCGGGGAGGAGGGAGGCTGCGCGGAGGCAGCAACAGCCGCGTGGTGATGGAGGGGACAGCAAGGCCACAGCCCGCACCACGGGACCTGTATCCAGACTCCAGGTTCACTTCACTCTGTGCCGTAACAGGCCAACCGCACGCCCTCCCCGGGTCCAGGTTCCTCACCTGTAAAGTGGGGGGCATATAAAGCCCTGCCTCCCAGGGGTGTTAGAGGATGAAATGAGATCCTCTAAGTGGCACAGCAGGGGGCAGCAAGTAGCATGGGCGACCTGTACTGTTGGACAGTTGTGCACGGCACAGGGTGCCAGGCCAAGGCGGTGAAGGGGCCTGACATCCAGCCAGAGCCACGGGTCCGCCCTGGCGCCCGTGAGGGTACAGCATCCCCCCCAAGAGGGGGCGCCCTGGAATCAAGCCCGAGTGTGGGTTCCCCACGTTCAGGAGTCCAACCGAAAGCTCAGAGTCCAGACAACCTTGGACACCAAGACAGAGCGGGAGGGGACAAGAGGCTGGGCGGGGCGGAGGGGCTCCCGAAGCTGGGTCTCCTGGAGAGCTGAGCCTGGAGAGCTGAGCCAGGAAGTGGGCTAGGTGCCCGCGGGGGGGGGGGGGCGGGGAGGGGGATGGGGTCACCGTTCTCGGGGTAGGGACCCGGCTTGTCCTCCCTGTCGCCAGCCCGAAGCCCAGCCCGGTTCCTGGCTCTCTGACGATCGCCTGTTGGACACCGCCCCCTGCTGGAGGCCAGCAGAGCCGTCCCGCCTGCCAGTGGGCCCAGCGCCCCAACCCGCGGCCCCCCAGGTGAGGACAAAGGGTGGAGGGGCTAGGAGGGGTAGGGGGGTGGAGCGGTGGGGGGGCTGTGGCGGGAGCCGCAGTTGGAGGGATGTTCTTGTCAAGAGTTTCTGGAAGGTGCATGGGGGCTGGAGGGAGGAGAGGGCCTGGGGGTCATGGGGGTCTCGTTTACACGTGTTAATGCTGTACCGGTTCCCCGGGGGATTTTTTCCTGGCTGTGTCCGTGTCACTTGGTGCATGTCCCTGTGCGTGTCCGTGTGCATGTCCTGGCTGTGGGGCGCTCCCTGCTTCTGCGCACTGCCCTGGGGCACAGGCACGGAGGAGTGAGGGTGCCTTCCAGGTGCCGGATGAACTGGCCGCGCTTTCCTTTCCTCCTCTCGCCCCACGCGGCTCTCCACGGGTGACAGTGATTGGCCGGCACCTGCCCACCTGCCCGCAGCTCGGAGCCTTGCTCTGGTTCTCCGTGGGGTTCTCGGGGCCCCCTAAGCGGGGCCTCGGCTTCATGCCCAAGTGCAGGGGGCGGCCGGGAGGGCCCTGAACCCAGAGCCACCTCCCTCCCCTCCATCCCTACCCACATGGCACGCCTGCCTTTGCCTCTTGTGACCCATGGCTGTCTCCTCCGTCAGCCAGTCCCATGTCATTCAGTGCAC